ACCTCAGTTTCCTCTCTTCATTCAACAAATTGCACATACCTGAGGTGTACAATTTGTTAAATTTTAACCAATGTATATATCCCTGAAACTATCAGCACAATCAACAAATGACCATAAAAGCCTCCCCCTAAAATAACTATTGACCTTTTTGTCACTGTAGATTAGTTTGCAATTTCCAGATTTTTATATAATTATCTAGCATATACTCTTTTTTGATCTGGCTTCTTTCATTCAGCTTATTTTTGAGATTCAGCCACATTGCTGTGTGTTATCAATAATTCATTCCTGGAGCGCCTGGGTGGCTCAGTCATTAAGCATCTGCCTTCGGCTCAGGTCATGATATCCCAGGGTCCTGGGGTCGAGCCCCGCATCGGGCTCCCTGCTCAGCGGGAAGCCTGCTTCTCCCTCTCCCACTCCCCCTGCTTGTGTTCCGTCTCTTGCTGTGTCTCTGTCAAATAAATAAACAAAAATCTTAAAAAAAAAAAATTCATTCCTTTTTATCACCAAGTAATATTCCAATGTATGGCTATTTCACAATTTGTTTATTCATTCACCTGTTAATGGACATTGGGTTGTTTCCATTTTTTGCTGAATACAGCTGCCACGAATATCCATGTATAAGTCTTTGTATGGATAAAGGCTTCATCTACTCTTTTTTAAAGTTTTATTTGAGAGAGAGAGACGAGCAGGAGAGGCAGAGAGAAATGGAGAATCTCAAGCCGACTCTGTGCTGAGCTCAGAGCCCGACGTAGGGCTCGATCTCACGACTCTGAGATCAAGACCTGAGCTGAAACCATGAGTGGGATGCTTAACTGATTGCACCACCCAGGCGCCCCAAGGCTTCATCTATTCTTAAGACTTTGCTTACACCCCTGGAAGTCCCAAATCTGCAGTGGCAGATACCAACAAACAACCGCCAGCTCGACAAGCCCACCTGGAGAAGCCAAAAGGACTCTGTCCCAAACTCCTGTGTTCAGGTCACTCTCTCCACCCCCAACAGCTTCTCCTCCATTCTCTGTCCTGACTAAAGGCATGCAAACCAGAAACTTAAGACTCTTCGTGCTCTCTTCCCACTTGCCCTACTCACTCAGTGGTTTACCGGGTCCTGTCAATTCTACCTTGTAAACATCTCTCAAAACCCATCCCTACATTTCCATTTAGTTCAAATGCACCCTTAATTCAAACACATATCATCTCTTGGCTGGACTATTAAACTAGCCTTCTAACTTTTAAATCCTTACCTCAGGTCTCATTCTTCTCCAATCCATTTTCTATTCTACGGCCAAAGTGAATTTTCTAAAATTCCAAACTGATGTTACCCATTCCTCAATGACCTTCATCCCCTCAAGATAAAATTCAAACTCCTTAGCTTAACATTAAAAAAATTCTCTATAAAGCAGTTTGCTCTCCAAACTCATCCTCTGCCACTTCCCACCCTGTTCTAACTTAGTCATTTCTAGATGATGTCATTTACCTTTTTATCCCTAGTGCCAAGGGCATTACCTGGTCTGTAGTAAGCATGACATATTTGTGCAACAGATAAGGTAGGACTTGGACTGATAGAGAGAGACATTCTGGGCACAGTCAGGAAAAGCAGTCATCCAGTCTGGCTGAGCACAAAGAATATGAAAGATCATGGTAGGCAATCCAGTCAGGAAAGCAGGATGAAGCCAGATCATCAATCAAGATCAATTCCATGCTAAAGACTGTGCACTTCATCCTATGCCCTCAAAAGATATCGTTGTTTTTGTTTTTTATTTAAATTCTAGTTAGTTAACATATAGTGTAATATTGGTTTTGGGAGAATTTAGTGATTCATCACTAACACCCAATGCTCATCACAACAAGTGCCTGCCTTAATACCCAACACCCATTTAGCACATCCCCTAGCCCGCCTCCCCTCCAGCAACCCTCAGTTTGTTCCCTATAGTTAAGAGTCTCTTATGGTTTGCCTCCCTCTGTTTTCCCTTCCCCTACGTTGATATCAATGGTTCTCAACAAGAGTGCAACATACTCAGAAGTGTACAATAACTTCTGAAATTTGAAAACCAGATACAGGAAAGGTGAGAGGCAGTAAACTAGTTAAGAGGCTATCACAGTGGTCTGGGAAAGAGGACTCAGAGTAGAAGGAAACAGATTAGAAGACATGTCAAAGGGAAATAAACCTATGTTTATTGTGTTATATCTTGTGCCTGGGTATGGGCAGTAACATAAAAGAGAGAAGTCAGAGATGACTCCAAAGTTTTGAACCAAATAAAATAATAAAGCCACTAAGCAAGAGGAATTTTTTTTAATGGTCCGTGGAGGAGGAGAGAGATGATGGTTTTAGTTGCGGTATTCCCACACCCATTCATTCAAACATAAGTGCCTACTAGGTAGGTGTCAGGCACTGTATGTGTGAAGGATAAAAAGGGGTAAAATACCATTCCTTTTCTCAAAGACCATCTAATCTACTTGTGGGATGGGGAAGACAAGTAAATAGGAACTTACAATTCATTGTTAAGTGCTAGGGTTTGGTGCTAAAAGAAAGTAAAGACTATCCAACTCAGCCCTGAGAATTTGAGAAAACACTGAGGTCGAGTTAGCATTAGGCCAGGCAAAGGGCAGTCCAGGTGAAGAAAATAACATGACGATAGAGCCTCAGGTAAGACAACACAAATTGGGCACATCTGCAAACAGTAAAATAAGTCTAAAGGAAGAGTTCAATATAAGGAGATATCCACATGAAATGTCTAGCAGGCAGGTGAAAATGCAGGTTCTGAGAGCTCTCAAGAGCTACATCCAGATATGCAATATATTTTCAACCTCATCTTAGGTGGCTTAGAGTGCTCATCAGTGGCTATCTTAAATAAGAATTGGAAGAACCCTACTTATCAGCTAGATTGTGTACACTTCCACCTCCCCCCATCACTTCTGTCATGCAAGGGTAGCTCTGTTTCAAGTTAAATAGGTCACAAGGATTGGTGGGAACTGTGGAAAGTTGGAGAATGCAGGCCCAGTCTGAAGAGGAAAGCCATTCACTCAGCTCCAGCAGTTTACTGTCTTGCCCAATGTGGAGAGATCGTCCTATTCTTCACGAAAAACTGAAAATTCAGATTTTATGTAACATCTCCCACTTTTAAACACTGGTAACTAATTACATTAAAAGTCTGTAAAACAACATTGTGCCAGCCAAAGAAAAAGCTTCTGTGGAAAGATTTCAGCAAGGGCCACCAGTGTGGCAGATTTGGACCTGGTCTGCCAACTCCTACAATGCTCTTTCCACTACTTCCCAGTACCCTCAACTAAGAGTATCTTGATGGTTCCCTGGGACAGGAGCTGTTTGCTCCTAAGCAAAACAGCCCTAAACTGATAGTGTTTTACAAGTTCTTTTGTATGTTCTCAACAATTTTTCTGTGTCCTCCCCACTCCACCCCCACCTCCATCAGTACCAAGCTTCTAACATGACTGAGACCTCCTACTCCCCTATTATAAGCTAAGATTTTGCAGGTAAAGCAAAAGTAAAAAGAGAGCCCTGATTTCTAATGAATAAAGTATATAAGGAATATGGCATCTCTCTGGTTTTCTTAGAAAACATCACAGAGATGTTTGTTACTTAGATACTTAAGGAAAAAAGTCAGTAACTTATATCTGAAAAAATGAGCAAATTCTGCTAACAAACTAAATAGTTTCCACTGTAAGTTTCC